GAAGGAAGGAAGGAAGGAAGGAAGGAAGGAAGGAAGGAAGGAAGGAAGGAAGAAAGAAAAGGAGGGAGGAAGGGAAGAAGGAAGGAAAGGAGGGAGGAAGGAAGGGAGGAAAGAAGAAGGAAGCAAACTGAGAAGCACACTGTGTCCATGATGCTTCTTGTGGATAAAGAGTTACTTTCAACCCTCCCTCACAGAGGATGAACACTGAGTCAGCAGTGTGAGTCCGATGAGGAACCATGAACCATAAGGCTTTGGACAACAGCTTTGAAACCTTACCTATTGTTGCCAGACACAGTTCATTTTATATCTTAAGACACTGGCTGAGTTTGTTTAACTAAACCTCTTTAGAGTTTCATACAAGGGTGCTGCATTGATGTCATTTCCACCAATCCTCCCACTTCAATTTCTCCTTGCCCCAAACTCCCAAAGTCATGATCTCTCACTTAATTGTAATTGTTACACACACACACACACACACACACACACACACACACACAGAGAGAGAGAGAGAGAGAGAGAGCACAGTTGCAGTCCTCATCACTGACTACATTATTTTTCTATATTACTCATAAATTCTTTTAAATTTGAAAATAGCCACATGGTCATTTCTCATAGCATGATCCTAGACACTGTGATTTGGAGGGAAAAGATGACAAGTTATGCCTATAAGACCAGCAAGAGTGGACTGGAGTAGACACAGGTAGATCACTGAAGTTTGTCCCTAGCCAAACTAACCCAATAAATTATTACCTTCAGGTCTGTGAGAGATCTTGGCAAAACAACAACAAAATTACAGGTGGAGTGACTACTCAGCCGATAAGATCCATGGCCACTCCTGCCTCGGACCTGAATTCAGTTCCCAGCACCCACACATTGGCTCAAAATTTTCTGTAATTACATTCCAGATGATCCAGTTCCTCTCTCGCCTCCGTGGCATCAAGCATGAACATGAATGCAGGCAAAACACCCGTACATATAAAAATAGGACTCTAAAATTATGAAGGTAGGTATATGAGGTGGAGATAGATCAAGGAAAGAATCTGGTATCTACATTGGTCCCCCACACATATACATATCAAACACACCCAATGTCACACACTCATACATATACATGTGTATGTATGTATGCACATATATGTATATATGCCATATTCAAAAAGTATATTAATAATAGTTTAATGATTGACTAATACTTCCCTTATATTATTGTTTACTGTAATGCATTTATTTATACACAGATTACAATGAAGTTCTTGTGATCTGTTTTGCATGTCTTTTAGTAACCACTTGTCAAGATCTGTGCCTCACTCAATCTATGAAAGTTTATTCTTTATTGGATAAATTTATTTTTGTTAACTTCACAAACTAAGTAGAACAACTCTAGCACCATGGACAACCTTATGAATGATTTCCTGAGTATAAATGATTGGTTGTCGTGTGTCAGCAGGGTCGTCAGCCATTCCCTGTTGTGCTATGTTGTTACTTCTGAAGTTCAAAAGATTTAAAAGGCTGAACACGGATCAATTTGATCTAGAGTTCTTGGGGATTTCATATTGAATAATCAAAATAACAGTTATAAAGTATGCAAATTAAATGAAACAAAAATTAATAGTATGATTTCATGGTTTAAATATGTAGATCCAAGGGTAGCTTTACAGTCAACACACAGGGTGTGGTATGATGGAATAATCTTCATTTGTTGTTGGGTTAATTCTCAAGTGACCTGCAGTAGAAATTTTTCATAATCTCTTCATTAATCCATGCGATTTTATCCACAGTGATATTTGCTTACATAATTTTAGTGTTTCTTTCATGATATGTTTATTCTTTATAACAATAATACTCCTGTAGAGAATAATAATTTTTATTCCATTTCTAAATGTTAGAAAATTTAGTAGAAAAATTTAATATTTTTTAGGAAAAGCATGTCATTCAAAAATATCGATATTAACTTGGACTTGAAGGAAAAGATTGTAATTTTAAATCATAATGATAGGTAACATTTGTTCATTACTTTTATAGGCTCAGAAACTTATTTAGAATTTGCATGTGATAATTCATTAAATCCTCATTTAAAATAATAGAGTTGGCATTACAAAGAGATCTTTTTTCTTTTTTTAAATTACACTTTATTCACTTTGTATCCCCCCTGTATCTCCCTCTCTTGTCCCTTCCCAAAGAGATCTTTTTTTCAACTGAATTTTCATCTGAAAATACCAAAGCTCAGGAATGTTAACTAGCCTGTATGACAATAGTGTCTTCTTGTTCTTATCAGGTGTCACACATTAGATCCTATGCAATATTTTCACCAATTTTTATTTTCCTATCATCCCCCTCCCCAGTCTCTTCTTAGTTCGTACTCTCCTACAACAGAGTAAAAGACACGTAGTTAAGTCAGTGTGAGGTTGTAGGGTGATTCAAAACAACCAAGAATTTTGGACCAGACTCTTCAACTTAATATGAACTGAAGCAAGGAATCAAATAATATTTTTGTAACAATTATGACATAAGGGAGGTCATGTATTTGAAAGAGAGAAGGGGTCAAAATGGAAGGTTTGGAAGAAGGAAGAGAAAGAGAAAAACAAATTATATAAAAATATTTTAAAATTAAGAACAATCGTGAGTGAAATAGAATGGTTTCCTCATGATGTATTCAACGCATGTGAGCGACACATGCGCTGTTACCAACTAAGCATTTTTAAACTGCATGTGTGTAAAAATACAATCAGTCATAAGTTGCTGGCTCCTCTGTGGCTCCTCTGATCTTCCTTCTTGATGCCGCTGAAACAAGCACTGACTCGTTAAGAAGGTTAACGCGTATTCAGCACAGCTTCTCACAGCAGAGAGAAAAGACTACCATCGAATCAAGGGAAAAGGACACACCTACTCATATATGCTCAAGTCAAGAGAACTCAGTCTTTGGCTGGCATAGTCATTCTATCTTTAACCAAGCACACAAATTTTAAAGTGTCTACTGGATGTGATAGCAGAAGGGAAGAAGTCAGCCACAAGAGCTGTAGATTTAAAACCACCAAGTTTTATATTCGAATAAAATAGGGAAGGTTGAATCTTTACTTTTAGGAGGGCAATATGAAGGTCATGAAACACAATCATAAAGTTAAGGATTTTTTTTCAGTGCTAAGGATTTATTTCAATGGTGGAGCCTTGCCTATCATATACAAGGCCATAAGTTTTATTCTCAGCACAGCAAGAAAAAAGAATTTTTCAGTTTGCAGCATTAAGAGCTGAGCCATATAGTGCACTGTATAAATCAGTAAATTGAAATAGAGAAGTTAATTATCTTTCCATGGCCCCAAGAGTAAAGCCCTCATCATGTAGATAAAAGGAATAGCATGAAGTCCAACCTTAAAGAGAACAGGTCTTGTCTAAGATTATGCTTTTCATGGTGGCTCATCACAACACTCATTACCAAGTAATATTCAGATTCTTTAAAGGGAGATATTATTGCTGGATGTCTTCAACTAACATTTCTGTGTAAATGTGAGCACCCCAAGAGCAGAGGTTTTCTGCTGCATCCCGTGCATTTTTAACAGGGCATGTTCTGGCTGTCTAATGTGTAGCACAAACTCAGCCAGTAATAAATAAATAGCATTAGCAAATGTTTTAGTCGAAAGCATTTGTTAAAAGGAAAGTGGTAAGACTTGATAAACTGGGGTGGATGGAAAATGAATTCTGAGGGATGGGGGGTGGGATGGTGCATGGAGGAGGAAGGGAACTGGGATAAAACCAGAATGCCAAGTGAATAAAAATATTTAAAAAATTATAAAGTGGTGCTGTTTCAGAATGCCCCCCCCCCCGAAACACCAATGTGGGCAAATGTCCATACTTGAAAATACCTACATGAAGTTAATCAAACTTTATGTGACAGTTTAAAAATATTTATATGACTCATATTCAACACCATCCTCAAACTATATAATTAAAATTCAGATTTACCAAGGTTTGCTTCACCCAGCTAAACCGCTGTCTATTAATCAGCCTATCATATTTCCAGTTTGACTACCACAGACTCAAATTCAGCCTGCTTGGGAAAGATTTTCTTTAAATATGTGACATAGATTTAAAATTCCAAGAAATGCTTAGTGCCATGCAGGGAGCAGAATCTATGCACTGTGAGTTGAAGGCAGTACCAATAGACGCTGTAATGATTACACAGCAGGACCGCAGCAGGGAAAAGATGGACTGTGTGGTCATTTTCATCATAGTAGAACTTAAAGACTTAAACTTAGGGTTAGGCCCTAGAAATCTGAGGTTCAGTCCTACTTGATGTCAATGTGGCTCTCTGTTTCAGGTCTCCTCCTTTCTTCAAACATCAGAGATTACAGAGATTATAGT